GTACAACCCACTATTTATACTAGTGACATATTTAAATCAACGATTGAGATTTTACCACCACAAATTTAATCTAATGGTTATAAATTATTTTCTAGAATTTTCTTTACTATTCTAGAAAAAATTCAAACTTATTCTTATCTTTTAGAGAGCTTCATAAAATCTCTCTAGAATTGCCTTCTAGAAGTTGGACCTTTTACAATATCAATTTAGGCTTAGAATTCTTAAGACCAAAAGATTAACAAACCCAAAATCAATTTAAATTTTAAACAACCCCTTTCTTAAAGAAATTTTATCCTGCCACCCTCCACCTTAACCTACCACCCACACATAATTTCATTATGACAAAAATACCATTTGCATTATTTATCTTTCAAAAATCCAGATATTGTAAAAAAAATCATTATGTAAAACTAGTAAAAACAAAATATTTGATAGTTATTTCAAAATATTTAGTGCGAAAAATTTCGCGAGAGAAAGTTTATGCATTTTTATCAGAATTTTATAAATACGATGCGTTTTTACCAAATATTTTGACAAATCCATATTTTGTTACATTTACACCATATTTTTTTAAACCAGTATTTTGTTGTAGGTTTATTGGATTTTTTTGGAAAATTCTGCCTTTTTAGGGTAGGTGTTGTGTTCGTACCAGAGGTTTCAAGAAGTTCGATACATTTATACTAGTATTTCAAAATATCTCGAATCCATATAAAAGTATCTGATTTTTTGAAAAATCGAGTAACCAGAGTTTTTGCATAAACAAAAAATAAATGTTAGTTCAATATGCTTCATTTATGCGATCCAGATTCTGACGACTCATTTGCATAATTTACATAGATTTTTTTACCAGTGACATTGTATGTTTGACTTACAAGTTTAATTTTCAATTTGTTCAAAAACTAGTAGTTTTACAATATCTCTAACATTGATAATTAATTTTGTTTATGTTATATATGATAGATATTTTCCTCTCGATCTGATGTTCTGAAATGGACACATTCTTCTAGTAAACAACATAATATTATTGTTGTTATTATACGTTAAAATAATTTTGATGCAGATGAAAAGAAGTATTGAATCATCAAGATGCTTTTTTTTATGGGCACATGTAAAACGATCAAATGGTATGAATGAAAGAAAATAAGATATTTTTGATTAAAAAATGGTTTTAATGAAGAAATGAAATGATTGAATGAATAATGAAATTCTTAAATGAAAATATCATTAAACCCTCTGTTATGAAATTCCAAAGTATTTTATTAAATTTGCTAAAAAAAGTTAATGCGAGAGGAAAAACAATTTTAATGATGCATACATACTTCATCGCATCACATTCAAGCCATCCATTCAATACCATCAAATCTATTCACACATAATCCTCATATTCATATCAATTCAAAATATATTCCAGTTCATCAAATCATCTTAATAGTTCACATCATTCATCACATATAAGTTTGCATACATTCATGTTCACAACTGTTCAAGCAAGTATCCATTCATTATTGTTCAATTCATTGAACATCAAGTACAAAATACATAAGTCTGAGTTGAGCTACCATGGTAAAGAGTCACCTGGTTAAAGCAGCATCATAGCATAAGCAAATTCATCACAATGATTTCAACAAACTCACAACTACATTCTACATACGAAGCCACATTCAAAAAAATGTCATTCAAAATGTCATGATAGTAAATTGTTTTACAAACAGTAAAATAGGAAAAGATCCATTAGTGAAAATCAAGTGAGACTACCAAAATTCTGCACTACAAACAAAATATGCAAACCACAAATTTCAGAATTCTGAAATATGTGCATAACACTTTCCACTCAAAAATTTATTCCTCCTTATCAAGTTTTGATTGTATTATTTTTCCAGCTCACCACCCCATAATTCCTTAGCATAGAAAACCCTAATTGAATCCTTTATATATTGTCACTATTCATTCAAAGGAGACAGAGAAAGAACAAAGAAAAAGATAAACAAAGAAAATCAGCAACATCAGAAATGTTTTTTCTCTAACCCTCGCACAAAGCTCAATTCAGAACCCTAAATCTCTTGAGCTTTCTCGTTAAAACTTGAAGTTGAAGAGATAAACCTCATCATTCGCTATATAATCTTCAACAAGCACATAAGACAAACCTAAAAAGGGAAGGAGAGGACTAACTGGATTCCTCAAAATTTTGCCCAAGCTCTGCGTTGAAACATCTCCGCAGGTAATTCTTTATTCACTCGTTTTGAAACTCCTCGTGTATGGTATTTGAAGTCATGTTTTTTTTTTGGTCTTTTTTTGAATAGTTTCTTTAGGGTTTGGGTGTTTGAATTTGAATCTAAGGGTTGTTCATTACTTTTTTTTTAAGGATTTAAGTTTAAGTTTCATAAAGAGGAAGAAGGGACAGTTACTTTGGTACATAAATGTTGGTGATTGTTGGTGCTCCATCGCCGGTGCGATTTTAGGCACGGCGGAGATTTAAATCTTGATCAACATCGAGCATTTTATCAAAGTAAAATTAAATAAATTTATCATACTTAGACCATATTTCTATTAAAATATGAAAAGGTAGTTGGAATATAGCCTTTGATTTCTCTCCTCGATTGTTTGAGTACGGGGAATCTTCTTTACTACTCGAATGATTGTATTTTCTAAAATACTTCTAATTCATTTCATAACAAACTATTTTATTATCAAATCTAAACTAAATCTATTTTCTCAATCACTTAGATGAAAAATAGAGAGAGTCGAGTCTTTGCCTCACTCTCCCGATTATTTGGATAATAAGAAGCCTTCATCGTTGTTCGAATAATTATCATTTGCTTAAAATACATTAACTATATCAAACCCCTTCCACTACTAGAAATGTTGTATTTAGCCTCGGCCAATTTCCGAGGCTATAAGTCAAAAAACCGCTGCTACTAGCCAATTAGCCTCGACGTAGCGTCGGTGTCGGGGATAGGCTAAAACGCTCGAAGCTAACTTTTAGCCTCGGCAAGAAGATCCGTGTCTAAAGTAGCCTCGATCTGTCTGTGTCTAATGTAGCCTCGGTGAAGCCGTGTCTAATTTAGCCTCGGTAAAGCCGTGTCAAAAAGCTTAAAATAGCCTGGGCCTGACCGAGGCTAAAGTCAAACTCCATAAGCCCCCTCCAATATTTAGCCTTGGTCCTGGTCGAGGCTAAAGGAACATTTTGCCTCGACTTTTTCGAGGCTAAGTTCAAACTTTATAACTGCAAAGTATTTAGCTTTGGCCTAACCGAGGCTAAAGTCAAATTATAAAAGTCCTCAAAATTATGCCTGCTTTCCAATTCTATAATCTATATATGTTGGCCATGTTTTCCAATAATGGCAATTATGTCATGTCCTGTTCTCCTTCAATCTATTTATCAAAACTTATAACACATGAAGTAAGAGTTATCAAAATATTACATAGATTGAAACAACAACAAAAAAAGTAGTCATATCTACAACAAAAAACAGCCCCAAAAACTCGGAATACATTGAAAATCATGTCCAAATTTTTTTACATCCGAGACTACTTCTACTAACACTGCATGATCAATCTTCACTTAATGATTGGTCATCTAAATCATCATCATAGTGAGGATTTGACGATCGAATGACAACTCTAGCAGATTGACCATTTGTAGGGTCAAGCTTCTGCATGATAAATGCCTTCAAAGCATTCAGTTCAGACTCCATCTTCTTAACAAACTCGTTAGACGCTTGATATTGTTCGGTTGCCTTCTGAGCAATATCATTTGACGCCTGAATAGCTTTGGTAGCCTCTTCGAGTCGAGCTGATGTAGCTGCAGCCAATTGTTCAGCTCTAATTCTAGATGCTCTCTCTGATTCAAAGGATGTCCCAAACATAGATCCGCGGGAATTTTGAGGTTGTAGGATAAAGGATGTAGATCCATGCTTCACATACAAATAACGACAATCACATAAGTTGATCACACTGAATACCTGCACATCAGTAACAGGTGCTGCTGCTCGAGGGATAATTGTAGTTCCAGAGGATAATAATCTGACAAAAGGGTACATAGTGCATACAATTAACACACAAAAATAGACCCATTACTGTGGTGAAGTCTTAGCTGAAAGTAATACTCACTTTCCAAGTTTCAAATGTTTACTATTCTTCCATACAGAAGTAATGCAGTAAATATTTTCAGCACTCATTCAGCCTAATATACTTACTATCTAAACACCAAACTCATCTCCTTCAAGTGTTCTACTTCTACATGAAAACACAACAAGATACATGCTAATAATACCAAATCAGGATTAACATTTTAAGTTATTAGTCACAATTAATTCACACAATGCAAGAAAAGGAAGGAACCATATATCATTCAATGAGTTCCACTAGATCAACTTTTATATTTAAAAGTTCTCTTGGGTATAAATGGACTCAATTCAACAACAAACAAGTTGTATAAAGCATGATCTTACTGTACATACAAGTTGTAGCCTGTTGATACAAAATTGAATCCAACTGATAGCAGGCATCTATTTTGCTTGTGAATTTCATCTTGACTCCCAATTCACTATCATGAATACTAATTCATTCTAACAAATCATTACCTAAACTTAGTTAGGCAACAATTACGGATAATTAGGAGAAGTTGGTGCATGACAGAGAAAATCCTGGGCTTATTAATAAGGTGAAAATCCTGGGCTTATTAAGAGAAAATCATGGGCTTATTAATAAGGAGAAGTTGGTCTATGAGAATCTTATAGGCAGTGCAAATGATAACCTTAATGACATTGATCTTGGAAGAAATCCTTATGGGCAGTGCAAATGATAACCTTATGGGCAGTGCAAATAATTTGTTTAATAAATCTTGATGATTAGATTTCAAAGCATGTGAACAAGGAAGAAAATACTTAGGAAAAAGAGAAATGATAATATCATATTCATCAAGATATTGGAATACAAAATACACATAATAAACCATAACATAGTTGTGCGTCTTCAATCAATATCCTATCGTTGCTTCACTACGTATCAAAAATCTCTTCAAACACATCTACTTGTGTGTCGTCACACAAACAAGATATTGATTCAATTTCAATAGTGGGTAGAACAGGTAACATCCCATCAAACTGATATGGCATTTCATCCTCTATGTTATCAATCATCACATGACCCCTTGGTTTTATGGTGATTGTCGCGCACCATCCACGCATATCTCTACACATTTCTGGATATGGGACATAATACACTTGTCTTGCATTTTGCGCAAGGATGAAAGGATCATAAGGACGATAACGCTTATCCATCTTAATATCAACAGTTTTATATTGTGGATGAACCTTTGTTCCTGTGTTCTTTGTTGGGTCAAACCATTCACAATAAAAAAGTGGAATCTTCTCCTTCAAACCAAAGTAATCTAGTTCATATATATGTTTGATTATGCCATAAAAATCATCTTTTCCTCCTTCAGCGAGACCTTTCACGTGCACACCACAATTGACAGTTTTTTTACCTTTGCTCCATTCTTCGGTATGATACTTATACCCATTTACAAAGTACATGTTCCAAGAGATTGCCAATGATGAATGACTGTGTGATAAGGCAATTATGTCTTTGTTGGTAACTCCATTTATCTTCTCATTTACATATTTCTTCAACCATATGGGAAACTATGTATGTATTTGTCCAGATGAATCTTCTATACTTATAGAATGACTCTCTAAGAATATGTTGCAATCAACCACACAATTCATGAGTAAATATTTATCATGATATGCATCAAGATCTTGATTGATGTGTTATGGTGCATACTTACTCAAGATATGGTTTGACCTCATCACAATTTATCAAGACATGTACATGTGAAGACTTCCATTCCTTATCTGATAGATAATGTTTTCCAAAATTCCCACTTGGTCGACCACCACTGTGTAGGAGGGACATTGTAGGTAGGATGTCATCATGGTCTGAACGAGGATTGTTACAAATATTTGTGTTTGGCAACAAACTGAATGAGTTGAAATAATGAGAACAAAAGTAATTTGTCTCACGATGTATATAATCGGTGCATATGGAACCTTCAACTCTAGCCTTATTTGTCACTGCCCTCTTTGAGACTCCCATAAATCTGCACATTCAATCATACCACATCTATTAAGTTATGATAAACGAGTAATTACTAAATAAAAGCAACCACAACCATTACCTTTCGAATGGATACATCCACCGGTACTGTACTGGACCACCTAACATCGCTTCTTTAGAAAGATGGATTGGAAGATGCTTCATTGAGTTAAAGAATCCAGGTGGAAATATCCTTTCTAACTTGCATATGATAACTGCAGTGTTCTCATCCAACTTAACTAAGTCATCCATCCTTAACGTATTTCAACAAAGGTCTTTGAAGAATCGACTTAGCTCGGTTAATGGTTTCCATACCAAATCCGGCAATGAACGAAATGCAATTGGGAGTAAACACTCCATGAAAACATGACAATCATGGCTCTTCATCCCATGCACCGTACCCTTTTCGACATTGGCACACCTAGAGAGGTTTGAAGCATAGCCATCTGGCATTTTCAATTCCTTCAGCCATTTACAAACCAACTTGACTTCAGGTTTGGTCAGAGTGTAGCTTGCCTTTGGTTTACCCCTCTTTCCGTTAGTTAAGGGTTGGAGCTCTAAGTCCCCACGAAAGCATAATTTAGCCAAGTATTCTCTCGCCTTTTCGTTATCCTTTGTTTTATCCTTAACATTCATGACATGTTAAATATATTATCAAAGACATTTTTTTCTATGTGCATCACATCGAGGTTGTGCCTTAACAAGTTATCCTTCCAATATGGGAGATCCCAAAAAATACTTCGCTTTTTCCAATTATGATCAACTCCATACCCTTCAAACTCTTTCCATTTTTCTTCCCATCCAATTTCAGTCACTTTTGGAAAATTACTTATTACTGCCCATATATCTTGACCTGTGGAAACAGGACGTGGGTCGTCTTTCACAACCCTATTTTTTATGAAACTTCTTTTACTCCTTTTGAAAGAGTGATTAGTTGGCAAGAAACGACGATGACAGTCAAACCAAGAATTCTTATGGCCACTTTTCAAGGTAAAAGCATCTGTGTGTTCCATACAATGAGGGCATGCCAGCTTACCTTGTGTTCCCCATCCAGATAACATACCGTAGGCCGAAAAATCATTAATTGTCCACATCAAGCAGGCTTTCATGATGAAGTTTTGTTTTGTGGATATATTATATGTCAAAACTCCATTGGACCATAATAGACATAGATCATCAATCAATGGTTGCAAGTAGACATCTATCTTCAATTTAGGATTGTGAGGTCCAGGTATGAGACAAGCAAGAAACAAGTATGGCTTGGTCATGCACATTTCAGGGGGAAGATTGTATGGAGTAACTATTATTGGCCAACATGAGTATGGAGAAGCAGATGCTTGAACGTAAGGAGTAAATCCATCTGAACACAAACCCAATCTTACATTTCTGGGTTCCCTAGCAAAGTCAGGATATACATCATCAAAATATTTCCACGCTTTTCCATCAGACGGATGGCGAAGGACGTTGGAACTATTTTTGTTCATTTGATGCCATCTCATTTCAGTTGCCGACTCGGTTGATGCATGTAGTCTTTGTAATCTAGGAATGATTGGAAAATAAAACATCCTCTTCGCTGGGATATCTTTGTACTTTCCCATGCCAGTCTTGCGAGGAATGAACCTAGGAGCATTACAAAATTTGCACTTAGACAACTTACTATCATCCTTGTAGTATAACATGCAACCATTCTTACAACAATCAATCTTCTTAACCTTTAGCCCTAACTTAGACACCAACTGTGATGCTGGGTAATAGTTCTCCGGTAAACATTTTTGAACTGGACATACACTTTTAAGCATTTGTGCAACAAAATCTAAACCTTTTTGTGGAACATGCCAGTTAGACCTAATTTCAAGAAGTTGAGTAGATATTGATAACATAGACTGTGTAGCTCCCTCATAGATAGGCTTGTTGGAAGATATCAACTTTTCATAAAACTGTTTAGCTTCTTCGTTGGGAAACTCATCCTCCAAAAATTCCTCTTGTTCCCTGTTATCATTAGCGTGAGAGAAACCTCCATGAGGCCTAAATGCATCATACACCATTTGATCCATTGCCTCAAACTGGTCAGCTTGACGCACATGTTCACTACTATTTGAGCCACCTCTTGTATCAATATTGAGCTCCACTTCTCCATGTTGAGTCCAAATCCAATAGTCTGGTTGAAATCCATCTCGATATAAGTGAAGTCTTACATTAGTTGATGTACTTATCTTACAACACTTGCAATTTATGCACAGACACCTTATCCCTCCCTCAGATTTACAAATGGGTTGATTCAAAGCCTTCTTCACAAACTTTTTAACCCCACGAACAAACTCATCTTTCAATCCGTGTCTATCGGAATATGCTCTATTATACATCCAAGTACGATCCATTTTCTATATAGCAAATAATTAACATGTGAGTCACTAAACATTTTCTATATCACAAATAATCGAGTAAGATAACCTTAAAAGGGCCCATTTTTTATATAGCAAACAATTAACATGTGTGGTCTCAAATTATTGTTTAGGTTTTTTTGTTTGATGCATGTCTTTGTAGCATAAACTCTTGTTATATAAATGTCTTAGTCCCTTCTTATTGTGGAGTATTGGAGTTAGAATAATAACAAAAATAGTAAACAAAGTTTTTATACTAAAAGAAGAATCACAAAATAATGAGTTCTCATAACAAAAAATACAATCATTGAATTTATTTTTTACACCAGTAACTAGACAATCCTGAAAATGTACAAAGATATTTGGGGCGTATAATACTAGCTCCAAGTAAATCCCTACATTTCCAATGGTGATTCTATCTTAATACAACAACAGCCTAATTTGGATTAACACACTTAGAATATAATATCTATATGATATGATTCTCAATGAGATATAGCTCAATGCGAAGCTACAACATCATGTTGCTGGACAGATGAAAGCAATTTTCTCTGTCAAAAAGTATGATTTCCTGTCTGAGCTTGTAGTTTGCGACGGTCTTTTTCATGCCATGGTCAAAGGTACTTGCTGTAGCAGGTTAAATAGATTTTTAGTATCTAAAAATCTGACCTCCAAATGGAATATACTGGAACTATACTGAAAATGGAATATACTGGAACTATTTTCACTCACAGTATCTAAAATACATGGACATGACCCTTCACATTTTGGCTCCTAGTGTGTCTGATCATAATTTACTGCTGCTGAAAAATCTTGATACGGATACGCATAAGAGACGGTTTCACTTTAAGTTTCTCAACAGTGTGGTGGATATGGCTGACTTCCAAGAGGAGATTCACAAGAGCTGGAGCATCCCTATTGGGGGTAGTCCCATGTTTTTATCATGGAGGAAAATGATTAGAGCTTAAGGTGTCATCAAAGCCCTTAGTACTCCTTTGATAGGAGCCTCTCACTCTCTGAAAATAGTTAGGCAACAGTTGCGGATAATTAGGAGAAGTTGGTGCATGACAGAGAAGATCTGTTGGCTCAAACTGGGTTTAGCTGGGCGCTCAATCTCAGACTGGATAATTAGGATAATTAGGAGCCTTTCACTCTCATACAAAGAGCTAAGATTAGTTGGCTCAGACTGGGTTTAGCAGTAGCGATTCAGTTAGCAGTAGCTATTCAGTTAGACCATCAATGAATCTGTCAGGCTTAATTACTTTGTCCATTGAAGAAAGTTTACAACTAACAGATCTGTTATCGTCTGAAGAGATTCGTGTTTACCTAATTTGATGGAATAAAAGAGACTTCCAACCCTAGCCGTTCACCTTTCAGCAGCCACAACCCTAATCTGAGGCGCCCCCCGCTTTGTTCCCAACAACATCACCGCTTCAATCTCGCCTTCAGATAAAACACTATTGAATCCGTCCCACCACAAAAACCTAACCAACAACATCACCGCTTCCAGTTTCTTTTCAAAGCGACCACACATAAACCATCAACTCTGTTCAATAAAACCCAGCTTCAATTGAATCTCGTCGTAAAACCACCTTCAAAGAACAACTCCTTTCAGTCCACCGCCGCCCATCGTTCTCGAAACCCAGACGCACAAACCATACTGTGGAAACTCATAAAATCCAATCTTCTTGAATATCAACTAGGGAATCACGCTCACAGTTACTCTGTTTTTTTTGGGATATCGTGGGAAGGGAGAAACATTGTTTTCACGTACGGATACCGGTTGTTTTTGTTAAAATGGTTTAGCGAGTAAATTTTCTTCAATGTATTCAATTGTGAACGCAATAAAAGTCCTGGCCCTAAATCCAACGGAATCTCCTCTCAAAAATGTGTTCGCCTTCTCATCCTTTTGCGTTCGAATCCAACGGAATCTCCTCTCAGTTAGGGTTATAAAAAAGTTTGTTGATGCTAAAACAAGGTTTGCAGAAATTTCCATTGGTGACATGGTGTGAAACATCAACCTTATAGACAACATTCCCTCACTTTACGTAGGAATC